CCCCCCCCCCAGGGGGATGACCATGCCACAATCCCTTCTCCATTCTCCTCTCAGGATCTTGGGCATGCACGCATATGCTCCCGGTGTGAGTTTAAGCCACCAGGTCCAGGACTCAAACCGCAGTAGACTATAATAGGAGTCCAGCAACATAGCCATTACTCCAACTGCTGGTCCCAGGCTTTAATTCTTTTTTTATAAGGTTAGTTTACCCCTCACATTAAAAGTGCAGTGTTAGGAGACACATGGCAGTAACAGATCCTAAATTTGATGCTCTCATTTATCCACCTTTCATGCATCTTGGTCCATGTAAGTGGATGTTATGTTTTCCTAACTCCCCAGCTGCTTTTCATAGAACCTGTCATCCCCAAAGACTTGCTGAATGGGTGAAGAATTAAGGTGTGAGGGAAACTGAAGTATTACCACTGGTAAAATCTAATAATCAAAGGCTACTACTTTGCTTCTGGCAGTTAGGAAGAGAAAAGTATTCTGTACAGACTCTGACCAGTTAACTTGAATTAATATTTGGCTAGCAAACTGAGATATTAAGTACTGTGTGAAGTGTTTAGGAACACTTGGCACATGGTAATCACTATGTAAGTGTGTATTAAACAAAATTGTATTTTCCCAGATTAAACTGGTAAAATCAAGAACTTCGATATTCCATTTAAGGAACTTCTGAAATTTAACCTAAGAGCAAATGTGAAAATAACTTCAAAAAGCAGTTTGAAAGCAGCTCGAAAGAAGAGAACCATCAGGAACCCAGGCAGTTCTGCAGCATATGATTTCCCCACACTCTTTTTGAAAAAAAGATGGATATATTTTACTGGATTCCATTAGAGACTATTGTGTGGGAGCAGCTGCCTCAGACATTCACTGATGTGGAAAAATCTTCCCTGATTATTTGAATAATAAGTCATTTTCTTCTCTAACGAAAAAAGTCTGCTTTAATTAAAATCTTTGATCCAGAAAATGCCAGCATTTCCAGACTTTTGAGTTGTGTAATTCCATGAGCTCAGTAGCTGGGTGGTCCTCCCTGTCTCTCCCTTCTCCTCCCCCTCCTCAGTGCAGCCTTCACCTTTTCCCCATCCTTCAGAATGCAATGGTCTCACAGGACATGTCCATGATAGTGGTCTGTACAATGGTGCCAGGAGAAACCTCATACACAGTGGATGCAGAGAGAAGGGAGGACTGGAAAACACAAAGAGAGGGAGCAGAAGCCAGAAAGGATCGCGGAAGAAGTCTATCCAGGCTCTCACTCTTTTCCTTTGACATAGGCCAGGGTTTTGTCTCCAACTTTTGGACATTCACAGCTAGTTCCTGGTTTCAGACTGGGGATCTGGGAACCAATGACGGGTGGGAAACATCACAGAGTAGGTAGAAGCTGGATTTGTCAAGCCATTTGTCAGTAGCTAGTGACAGGCCTTCTTCCAGCATGCCAACCTAAGTTCATGGAGGCCATGATGGAACAACAGAAGAGTTCATCTAGCTTCCACACCGGGGATAACTGGAGTTCCAAAGTTTCCTTCCTTATCTATGAATATGCTGAGACTTTGAGATCTTGAGAGCAACTGTTCTAGAAGAATTCTTCCTTAGAAAGTTAGGAATGCAAAACCATGAGAAAACCATGAACAAATCCATGTTGAAATAGGGCTTGTATCTGTCTGGTTTATTGCAGTCTCTTGGCACACAGAGCCTTGTTTGTGGCCTGGGTTCAATAATTTATTGAATTAATTAAAGACCTGTTTTTCAAAAATCTTTAAAAATAAATGTTTGTCCTCCAACCATGATGAAGGTCTGGGAAGACACGCTCATGGAATCGGGATAGATAAGCAAGGAAAGGAGAAAGAAAATATTCCTTCTCTTCTTTCTTTTGAAAGAGAAGTAAAAGAGTTTCAAAATTCTTCATTGTAAAAATCAATGCAGCCAAATTGCCCATAGTCTTTCAGCTTTAATAAAACCAGGAATAGGGACCAGCAGATGGCATAATGGTTACATCACTGGGCTCCCATGTAGTCGACCACAGTTCAAGTCCAGGACCTGGCAGCTTAAAACTCACACCAGGCACATGTGCCTGAGTGCATGCCCAAAATTCTGAGAGCAGAATGGAGGAGAAAGGATTGAAGTATGGCCATCACCCCCCCCCCCCGGGGGAGGGGTTGATTTCTCACTTTCTGTCTCTCCAGCAAACACACATGCCCTATAGAAAAAAATATCTCAAAAACAAACAAACAAACAAATAAATAATAAAACCAGGAATACTCTAAGATTGGGCCAATACCCACCTACTTTACTTCCTTGGCCAGTCAGAATCACTATGCACCCTTTTCTTGTATTCTCCTGGGACCAGTAGATAATTTTCCATGTTCCTGGCTCTTACTCCAAACTCCTAAGAACTCAAACCCCACAGCCTAGTAGAAACCCTAGCACTGAGCTGGCCCCTAACATGGAAAACCAGGAAGATGAACTTCCATCAGCCACAATTGGAGGCCTATGTTAGATCAATTGCTAAAGGCACTGTCCCTAGAGATTAGTGACTCCCATTATTGCCTGCTGGTCCCCACAAGGGCCCCAAGATGCAGTTTGGATTCTAGAGACTAGCCTCTCAGATCCAAAGCAAACAATGGAACAGAAACATGAACTCT